CGGCTCCTCACCACGAGCGCACGCCTCCCGCCGCGGCGCTTCATCTGCCGGCCTACGACCTGAGCGCCGCACACGCTCTGTCTGAACCTCCAGGCCTCTCACATCCAGGCCCCTCATATCCAGGGCCCTCCCATCCTGTCCCCGGGCATCCTGGCTCCTGGCATCTTGGCTCCTCAGGGCAATGCAGCCCGCTACTTCCGCTAAACCTTCACGACTCGACAGCCAATCGCGGTCCAGGGGCGAACGATCCCGGTTCAGGGACGGACGGTCCCGGCCTCCTGCGGGTCCGAGTTGGTCTTTATAGTCGCCGGCGGTGTCTCGCTCTCTTGTTCGGGCGTCCAGTCGTGTCCGGGCGCGAGACGCCCAGACTCGCGAACTGGCCAGCTCTTCAGTCGGCCAGTCCAGGGACCCGGGTCGGTCCAGGGACCCGGGTCGGTCCAGGGACCCGTGCCGGTCCAGGGACTCCTGTCGGTCCAGGGACCCGGGTCGGTCCAAGGACCCGGGTCGGTCCAGGGACCCAGGCCGGTCCCTCGCACTCAGCCGGCTCTGGGCATGTGGGCGGTCCTGAGCAGGTGGCCGTTCCTGGGCAATCGCTCGGTCGCCGGGTGTGTCTTCGGGTTCGCCAGTTCCATCTTTTTGACTCCTTCGTGTGGGCACACTCGATAGCCTCGAGAAGACAGTCGAGCGCTGAACTTGGTCACACCACATCCCCCCGCCATTGAACTTGATTCCACGGCGGTCAGCGGACATGCATTTTTTAATCGGATGCAAATCCTTTGGCTCCGGGGCAAGCCCCCTTCTTCTGCCCCCAAGCCCGGGAGGGCATCTAATAGGGCAGAGAGGATCCCCAACACTTATAGGACTCTAAACTCCATGGCGATAGAGCCGTCTGTCATGGCTGTAGACGAGGCAGTGCCGTTCTCGGGGACACTGGCCCCCTCAAGGAAACTGCGCCCCACGAGAGTGGTTCGAAAGACACGACGGCGGGACCCACAGCCAATTGCTAACCCGGTTACGTTAGCTAGGCTGCAAGAGCAGTGGCTGGTGTACATCTTTGACCTTCTGGACTTCCCTCGGCCCCACAGTGCAGCTGAGCCGGAACCTAGCAAGAAGTCCGCGCCAAACGCCCGGCTCAGTTTGAAGATGGCAACGGCGTCCATCATGCTCTCTAAAGCCGAGCTCGTAGGGGCTGTCGCCTCTGTGATCCAAAGCACGAACCCGACGACCATCGGTATTACCGGAACTGTGCTGAATGAGACTGCAAACATGCTGTACATACAACACGCTGGCAAGGTATGACACACTGCATGTGAGTGACAAGGTTGTGTGTGTAACTTTGCATGTGTGGCATTGTCACGTCACCTGTGAAACTTTGTATGTGTGTTAGGTGTCGAAACTGATAAAAAAGGACTGCATCTTTGAGTTAGATCTTCGAGCACATGGTCGATTCCGCCTTGTGGGGAGCGCAATCGATCGACCACCGGATCATCGCGGAAAAGGCAAGCTTCGATATCCCGTGAATGAGTCGTACCAGTGTATACGGGCAGGGCGGCGTTATTAGTTAAGCTTTGAGATCTTGACGCGTTTTAGAGTAGGCGGGTCAAGTTCCCTTAATCGACGTCTCCTGCCGAGCACGTCATTCACCGTTTTTGCGTCCTTCTGTGCGGGAACGGAATTCTTCTGTTTTTCTTGGTTCTCCCAATCCGCTTTGACTAGAGCCACCCGGACGGCAGTCCGGTCCGATTCCCAAAGTTTGGCCACGCGCCGTGCCTCGAATTCGGAGCTGAGTTTGCTCGGGCTCATGGTCTTAATTTCGCCATCAGTGAAATCATTCTCGAGCTCCTCAAGTGCGGAATAAATGCCTTCCGGACGCCTTAGCCAGGCAGACCTAATGCGAATATTTCTGTAGGGCCCGTTGATGAAATCATTAAGTCTGATAGTGAAGTCGTGGGGATAGCGACCATTCTTCCCCACCCTGGACTCGCATAGAATCGCGTGTTCAGGGTGAGCGAGCTTCATGTAACCGTAATTCAATCGAGCTACCATTCGCTTCAAACTGACGCCGAAACCCTCCATTACCCTACCGATGGTCCAGGCTTCTTGCAACAGAGGATCGAGGGACGACTTGCCTAAAGAGAGCACCTTCCCATTTACCTTAATTGACGCCTTCTGACAACCACGCACTACGAAAGCCACGGTCATGTGCGCCAGCGAACAACTGTCTGTCCTCAGGGTCACTCGAGAGCCCGCCAGCTGACCACGATCCACCATGCTCTTCAGCTCCTGCTCCAAAATATGATCTCGTTTTCGTCGTCCACCCACTGTGAGTGTTTCGACTTCGACATTGCACACAAAGTACTTCCCCCCCGCTTCGTTAACCCATGGGTCCACTTCGTTAACCCATGGGTCCGTTTCGTTAACCGACGGGGCCGTTTCGTTAACCGACGGGGCCGTTTCGGTAACCGACGGGGCCGTTTCGGTAACCGACGGGGCCGTTTCGGTAACCGACGGGGCCGGCGGGTTCTCAACAAGCTCTTGCGGAAGCGGCCTTACCTCATATTG